TCATTCTGAAAATAATAAATCATCTTGTAAGAGTCCTGTATCTGATGTTTCCTTCATATGTCCTGTCGAAATTAATAATACATTTGATAACCTTGTGGCTAATACTCGCAAATTTGAACCAGAGAAAATGGTAAAAACATTTACTAGCAAGGTAAATTCTCAAGATGATGACAGTATTGAAGATGTGTATATATTCAGAACATCATTACAAGTTCCAGTGATAAACCAAAAGAATGATGGTAGCACCACAGAATCTATGAGTGATGTTGACTTTTCTTCTGGTAGTGATGATGAATGGGGTGCGGCCAACCGAGTTAATCTGCAGTCTATACAAGCAAGTGTTAGAAGCACTAGGAGTAGCACTTACGGTAATATTCATACTAAGAAAAGTTGTACCAAAAGTAATTTTAAGCAAAAAAACAAATTAAAATCTAGTGAAATTTGCTCTAGAAGGAATGCAGAGTTGGAGGTTCGTGAGGATCTCGTAAAGAAGACCCCTCTTAGTCCAACCAAGAAATTAAATATTTCTACAAAAATACATTTTGGTATTGATGATATGAAGGAATGCCTTGCTGTTTGTAAAGACACAAACAAATCAGAGGATGATTTTGTTACTTGTTCATCAACAGATAAGGCACACTCTGGTAAGGAAAACATAATTTGTTCATCAACAGTGAAATCTGGTAATGAGGACAGAATAAATTTAGATCAAGTCATGAACACGACTGTTATTTCACGATCACCGGGCTGGTCTCGTATTTCACAATCAAAAAAGGATTTTGAGAAGTTTAAAAAGCCAGTGCTTAGAGCACTGAATGTGAGTGGAGGTGAAGTGTGTATACCTAAAAAGCATGTAATATCAATAAGTGAAATGCCAAAGCAACCAGATATTACAAATGAAGTAATGTCACCTGTTCCAACAATTGATGATTCAGATAGTGTTATTGGAATTCCTGTGGTAGCATTTAATAGTCCTAGTCCTGAAGCACTGAACAGAGTTAAGATATTGTCAAGAATAGTGATGAATCTAGAATCTCAAATGGGACCCAGTTCTACCGGAAACATAGAAGGTTCCACAGAAACAAAGATGCATCAAACTGAGAAAGATGTGACTTTAAAGAAGTGTACAAGTCTTGGTTCTGATGCTTTCAGTGAACCTACTTGTGCACTGGATAGTCCCAAGTCTTGCCAGAAAAAGGAACTGATCAGTGTGATTGTGTCATCTTTAGAACACACGGATCAGTTAGATCAACATAATGAAGGTAATGAGCAGTGCATGTCTCACATTACAAAATCAGGCAGTAATGAGCCAGGTGCTCAAGACTGCCACAACAAAAATAATGATATTATCAAGAATTCAGTGACTGACATGGCCAAGGAGAATGTATTAATGGTCCAAGAGTCTAACAGCTCTGTAGCTTGCGAAGAAGCCATAGAAAACATTGAAAGAAATCCTGTGATCAACCAAGTTAACACACTAACCAGAGAAGATCACATTCAGAACAAGAGGCCTGTTGAGCTCATGTCAGAGTCTGGAGACAGTAGGTCATCAGACAGGCTAATATCTGTTGAAGCAGTTCAGAATGGCAGCATCAGTTCAGAACAGTCATTTATTCTTCAAGGGAAGGGAGAGTGCAACTCAGCAGTGCCTTCACTACCAGTAAGTAGCAGTCAAGCCCCACAAAATCTTATATTATCAAAGGAATGTGATCAAGAAAAAGTGGCAGCACCAACAGATGTAATTAATTCAACAGAAGAAGCTAAGAATTCTTTACCATGTTCAAGCAAGGAACTATTAGCAGATGTTCAACCAATAACAAGCACAGAGCCTATGGAAATAACCACAGAGACCTCTCATCAGACAGAAATTCATTCAAGTTATAATAATTCGGTTGGACTTGCGATCGCACATCTCAATAAAATTCACATTCCATTCATAAAATGTGGAAGACTGAAATCTTTAAGAAAATCAACAAAGTTTGTGCTTCTTGGTTCGTTAGCACCAAGAAGAATGACTATGTCTTCTGAAACATTTCAGGGATGTAGTTCACCTGATAACTTAGGGTTGAAGTTTCGTGTATCATTAGGGATGAACTGTGAAGTAGGAATACAGACTAGTCCCAGGTTGCTTTATGCTTGTCACATGTCAAACATAACTGATGCAAAAGTCCAGACCACTCCTGAAGGAAATCCACAATTTTCCCATTTCACTACTCCTACAGACACCATTAATTGTACGCAAGGAAATGAAAATTTTGTTCCTGATAGTTGTGACAACATTTATACCTTTTCACATGCTATTCCCTTACTACATCAGTCACTACAATGGCAGACCCTAGTAAATTCAAACACAAACAGTAAAACTGAAAATTCATTAATTAGCCCTATATGTAAAATTAGTGAACCGCTTCAAGTAGACAAAAAGGTTGTGCACAGTGAAATAGAACATCACTCAACAGAGAATGATACTGGTATGAATAAAACTATAGTGTTCAATAACCACTGTGGATACAGTAGTCCAGTTGGTGTTTGTACTGATTATGAAATACCTACTTCTCAATTCAGCACAGCAACAACTATTAAGATTCAGCAGAGGACATCAGATAATGAAGGACAGTCCCTTAGCAAGTCACCAGAATTATCTCCAAACTCAGCAGTACACTCTAGTCATAGCATATCCATTGTACAGAAATTAGATGATATAAACACTGTTGACATTACCAAGGATCATTGTGATACTCATGCCAGTGAGAAAGTAATATCTGCCATGCAATATGATAATGCAAGTAATGATGAAAGGAATGCAGAAACACACAAACAAAATAAAATAATTGAATCAGGGCAAGATAGTTTTGCAGAACAGGCTATAGGCGACTTAAATTCTAAACCAAGGAAGTGTAAACAGAACGATTGTGATACGTCTGTAGAGATGGGCAGCAAGAGAACAAGCAGAGTAAACAGACAACTTAAGTTTTCCCCAAAATTTAATCCAAAATTATCAGATCCATTTTTGGATGTAAGTAAAGAAGATAGG